TAGTTCGGGGCAGTATGGTGGACGGCTTTGTACGTCAGTGTTAGGATTTTGAATTTGATCCGTTGCCCAATCGGAAGCCAGTGGAGGGATTGGCAGAGGGGGGTGGCGGAAACGGAGCGGTTGGAAAGGTGAATGAGTCTGGCAGCCGTATTCAGGATGGACTGAAGTGGGGATAGCCAGCGGCGAGGCAGGCCAGTGAGGAGGGAGTTGCAGTAGTCGAGCCGTGATATGATGAGGGAGTGGATGAGCTGTTTAGTGGTTTCTGGGGTTAGGAACGTGCAGATTTTGGTGATGTTTGCGGAGGTGGAGTCTGCAAGAGTTTGTCGCTCAGTAGGTGTGTGATTCGGGCGGAGACCAAGGGGGTGAGGTGGGGGGTTGAGAGATAGATTTGTGTGTCGTCGGCATAGAGGTGGTAGTTGCAGCTGTGAGAGTGTATGAGTTGGCCAAGGGAGGAGGTGTAGATGGAGAAGAGAAGAGGCCCGAGGACAGAGCCTTGAGGGACCCCAACTTTTTTTTTTTTTTAATGGTTGAATTGGATGGACATTTGTCCTTTTTTTTCAGCCAGACTAACTATGTAACTATCTTTGGCTAGAGTTTGAGTTCTAAATCAAGCACTGGCCTTTAGATAATAACATTTGCAGCCTGTGTCCCATTGGAACTGATTATCTAGTGTCTCAAAACAACTGAATATAATAATAGAAAATACATTTGTATTTATTATTGCAGATTACACCACCCAAGGGTTTTTTTTTAATAGGTCTTTAGGCAAAACAACAGAAAGACATATAAATCTAACCTGTGGTATATAAGCACACGTGCAGCAGATGGCCTATTGTACAGTTTAAATAGGTGTTCTCTAAATTAATCTCCTAATCCGACTGAAATTACTAAGGTAAAAATAAGGTGGTATTGATTGACAATGGGCATAGAATTTCACAAGACTTCTAATGAAACATAAAATCTAATGTCTAATAAATCTAAATATATTATTTATATGGATTTTCAAGTTGTGTATGATAGCAAATCTCATGTTTTCCATTTCCTTAACTATGTCTACTGTTTATTTTATGAGACACTGTCTTCTTTTTTATTGCATAAAGAAATCACATTGTATATTTTTTTTTTGAATGTTGGTGTAAATTTACCAATCATTGACTATACATAGGGATAATTAGGAAACTAATAAAATTAATTATTTGGCACAATATCTTGTATAACAAAGATTCAAAGGTAAGATACATATTTCCCTTCATTTTCACTCTCAGTTTATTCCTCTTATATACAATTGTACATAATTTACTCCCTACCTGCATTGCTATAACGATCTTTTGAAATATAAATGTCTCCAATGTTAAAAATTCAGTGCATTATTAAAAATCTGGTAGTTGCTTAAGGCACCTTTTTGGAGACTTTTTAAGGCACCTTAAATTCAGTGCATTAAATTACTTAAAATTAATTTAAAATGAAAAAAATGAAAAAAAAAAAAGAAATTACAATGAAAGTGCTCAGATTCCCTAAATTCCCCTTCATTTTCACTCTGTTTTTTCCTATTATATACAACTGTACATAATTTACTCCCTACCTGCATTACTATGACGATCTTTTGAAATATCAATGTCTCCATTGTTAACACTCTTTTTTAACCTGTAATATATAAACTTTATGGTGTTAATTTAAAATTCAGTGCATTAAAAAATCTGGTAGTTGTTTAAGGCACTTTTTGGAGACTTTGTAAGGCACCTTAAATTCAGTACATTAAATTACTTAAAATTAATTTAAAATGAAAAAATGAAAAAAAAAAAAAAGAAATTACAATTAAAGTGCTCAGATTCCCTAAATTCCCCTTCATTTTCACCCTCAGTTTATTCCCCTTATATACAACTGTACATAATTTACTCCATACCTGCATTGCTATAACGATCTTTTGAAATATAAATGTCTCCAACGTTAACACTCATTTAAGAAATGGTTTGACCTTTTTTTAAAAATGTTGTCATATATACCGTATTTTTCGCTCCATAAGACGCACTTTTTTCCCCCCAAAAAGGGGGGGAAAATGTCAGTGCGTCTTATGGAGCGAATATAGAGCGGCCGGTCCGGTATTTATGGAGCGAAAAATACGGTATAAACTTTATGGTGTTAAATAACAATTCAGTGCATTAAAAATCTGATAGTTGCTTAAGGCACCTTTTTGGAGACTTTTTATTAGAAAATGAATAAAAATTAATTATTTGGCACAATATCTTGTATAACAAAGATTCAAAGGTAAGATACATATTCCCCTTCATTTTCACTCTCAGTTTATTCCTCTTATATACAATTGTACATAATTTACTCCCTACCTGCATTACTATGACGATCTTTTGAAATATAAATTATTATTATTATTATGCAGGATTTATATAGCGCCAACAGTTTGCTCAGCGCTTTACAATATAATAAATGTCTCCAATGTTAAAAATTCAGTGTATTAACAAAATCTGGTAGTTGCTTAAGGCACTTTTTTGGAGACTTTTTAAGGCACCTTAAATTCAGTGTATTAAATTACTTAAAAATAATTTAAAATGAAAAATTGAAAAAAAAAAAGAGATTACAATAAAGTGCTCAGATTCCCTAAATTCCCCTTCATTTTCACTCTGTTTTTTCCTATTATATACAACTGTACATAATTTACTCCCTACCTGCATTACTATGACGATCTTTTGAAATATCAATGTCTCCATTGTTAACACTCTTTTTTAACCTGTAATATATAAACTTTATGGTGTTAATTTAAAATTCAGTGCATTAAAAAATCTGGTAGTTGTTTAAGGCACTTTTTGGAGACTTTGTAAGGCACCTTAAATTCAGTACATTAAATTACTTAAAATTAATTTAAAATGAAAAAATGAAAAAAAAAAAAAGAAATTACAATTAAAGTGCTCAGATTCCCTAAATTCCCCTTCATTTTCACCCTCAGTTTATTCCCCTTATATACAACTGTACATAATTTACTCCATACCTGCATTGCTATAACGATCTTTTGAAATATAAATGTCTCCAACGTTAACACTCATTTAAGAAATGGTTTGACCTTTTTTTAAAAAAAAATGTTGTCATATACCGTATTTTTCGCTCCATAAGACGCACTTTTTTCCCCCCAAAAAGGGGGGGGGAAAATGTCAGTGCGTCTTATGGAGCGAATATAGAGCGGCCGGTCCGGTATTTAAATGGATTCGAAAAATACGGTATAAAACTTTATGGTGTTAAATAACAATTCAGTGCATTAAAAATCTGATAGTTGCTTAAGGCAACCTTTTTGGAGACTTTTTATTAGAAAATGAATAAAATTAATTATTTGGCACAATATCTTGTATAACAAAGATTCAAAAGGTTCAAAGATACATATTCCCCTTCATTTTCACTCTCAGTTTATTCCTCTTATATACAATTGTACATAATTTACTCCCTACCTGCATTACTATGACGATCTTTTGAAATATAAATTATTATTATTATTATGCAGGATTTATATAGCGCCAACAGTTTGCTCAGCGCTTTACAATATAATAAATGTCTCCAATGTTAAAAATTCAGTGTATTAACAAAATCTGGTAGTTGCTTAAGGCACTTTTTTGGAGACTTTTTAAGGCACCTTAAATTCAGTGTATTAAATTACTTAAAAATAATTTAAAATGAAAAATTGAAAAAAAAAAAAAGAGATTACAATAAAGTGCTCAGATTCCCTAAATTCCCCGTCATTTTCACCCTCAGTTTATTCCCCTTACATACAACTGTACATAATTTTACTCCCTACCCTTCCCAGCCCAGCACTCCAGTAAATGCTGGAGGGGCAGAGCAGAGAGCGGTGACCAGGGGCGGACTGACCATTCGAACACTCGGGCACTGCCCAAGTTCTCGGGGTCAGTAGGGGGCCCCATGAGATGCCCCTGGTACCTTTCATAGGCTTTTTTTGGCTGTGGTTTGAGTTTGGGCGAGAACATAGGGGCCCCATGATCCCCTATTGCCCATGGGCAAGTTGTCAGTCCGCCCCAGGCGGTGACTGACAGTCACCGCTCTCTGCTCAGAGCAGAGGAGAGAACTGAGTGATCAGTCGTTCTCCCCTCTCTCAGTTCTCAGTCTTAGAGCCGGTAGGGGACAGATTAGCATCGGATCGATGCTGCATCCACCTAAGGGAGTATAAATGGTTTTTTTTTTTAAACCCATAATTCTCTCTTAGAGTCCAACCGATAGCCAGTTTTTTAGGGCGTATTCAACATTTAAAAAAAAAAAATTAATAAACAATAATAAATAATAAATGTGAGTGGATGAAGTAGTGATAAGTGGGTCTGAAACAGAGGAAAAAAAGCACAAGATTCTGTGGGGAGAAGAACCGCAGGATTCAGGTTTGAGGGTTCGGGGGGGTCTGAGATGTGACCATGTTTCATGAAGCAACATTTGGGAGGGTATTTAAAACATTTGTAAGGGAGGGTATGAAATTTCAAAAGTTTGTAATCTGCATCAGAACTTACAACATGCAGCAGTAATAATTGAGTAATGTACAGCATGCAGGGACCAGATATTTTTAATATTTATTTATTTTCAGGTACTATATATATTGCCATCAATTTACACAGCTCTTTAAATATATATTGTACATTCACATCAGTCCCTAACCCTCAAGGGCGTACAATCTAAGGTCCCTAACTCACATTCCATACATACATACAGCCAATTTACCTTCACCAGCATGTCTTTGGAGTGTAGAAGGAAACTGGAGTACCGGAGGAAACCCACGCAGGTACAGGGAGAACATGCAAACTCCAGGCAGGTGGTTCCCATGGCTGGGATTCGAACCAATGACCCGAGTACTGCCAGGCAGAAGAGCTAACCATTTAGCCGCTGTGCTGCCCGCTCGATAATATAACCTAGAGATGAATTTTTAGTATTCCTATGTAAGTAATTTATTTTTCTTTTTATGGTTTCAGATGACGTTAACTGGGTGGATAAACAACTATACTATGAAACCCGACTTTACTTTTGTTGGGTTCTCCAGTGCACAAAACATCAAATTTCTCTTGTTTTCAATATTTTTAATCATTTATATTGTGACTGTTACTGTAAATTCCCTGATAATACTGATAGTAAAAATGACTCCGACCTTACATACCCCTATGTATATGTTTATCGCCAGCCTTTCATTACTGGAGATCTGCTACGTGACCGTTACAATACCCAACATGTTGTCCATCTTCATAGTCAAATGCAAAAGAATCTCTTTTGCAGGATGCATGACTCAACTCTACGTCTTCTTCACACTTGGATCATCCGAATGCGTTCTCCTAACAGTAATGGCTTGTGATCGATACCTTGCAATCTGTAATCCGCTGAGATATTCCTCTTTGATGACAACAAGAGCGTGCCTGTATTTAGTGACGATCAGTTTTCTATGTGGGTTGTGTGCCGCGGTATTCACAATGGCGTTTATGGCCGTGATACCCTATTGTGGATCCAACCAAATCAATCATTTCTTTTGTGATTATCCAGCCATCTTGCCATTAGCCTGTGCTGACAGCGCCACAAAAGAAAAATTGTTCTACACTGTGCCTTGGTATCTCGTGATGACATGCTTTTTTGTTATCGTGGCTTCCTACATTTCCATTGTTTCTACTATAAAGCATTCAAAGGAGGGTTATCAAAGAAAAGCGTTTTCCACCTGCGTGTCTCATCTCACTGTTGTGATTATATTCTATGGATCTGTTATTTTCATTTATTTTAGACCAAAGGGAACCTATGACCTAAACAGGGATAAAGTGGTTTCGATGGTTTATTCAATGGTAACCCCCCTAATAAATCCTATGATATACTCTCTGAGAAACAAGGAGTTTCAAAAAGCGTTTGTAAACTTATTATTGAGGAAGATATTTTAGTCCAGTGGTCTCCAAACTGTGGCCTGGGGGCCAGATGCGGCCCTTTGCTTGCTTTTATCCGGGCCTTGGGGCATTATTCCCCCCCATCAGCAACAGTGGGGCATAGTTCCTGCCACCAACAATGACACCAACAATGGGGCACTATTCATTCCACTGACACCAATAATGGGGCATTATTTCTCCCACTGACACCAATAATGGGGCATTATTTCTCCCACTGACACCAATGATGGGGCACTATTCCTTCCACTGACAATGATAATGGGGCATTATTCTTCCCACTGACACCAATGATGGGGCACTATTCCTTACACTAACACCAATAATGGGGCATTATTTATTCTCCCACTGACTGACACTAATGATGGGGGCACTATTCCTCCCACTGACACCAATGATGGCGCACTATTCCTCCTCCACTGACAATGATAATTGGGCATTATTCTTCCTACACTGACACCAATGATGGGGCACTATTCCTCCCACTGACACCAATGATGGGGCACTATTCTTCCCACTGGCACCAATGATGGGGCACTACTTCCTCCCACTGACACCAATGATGGGGCACTATTCCTCCCACTAATACCAGTGATGGGACACTATTCTTCCCACTGACACCAATAATGAAGCACTATTCCTCCCACTGACACCAATGATGGGGCACTATTCATCCCACTGACACCAATGATGGGGCACTATTTCTCCTACTGACACCAATGATGGGGCACTATTCCTCCCCTACTGACACCAATGATGGGGCACTATTCCTCCCACTGACACCACCAATGGGAAACTATTCCTCCCATTGATACCAGTGATTCCAGGACATTTTCTTCTCCCACTGGCCACAGTCCGGCCCCCCTAAATTCTGAAGGACAGTAAACTGGCCCTTCCTTTATAAAGTTTGGAGACCCCTGTTCTAGTCCATCCCAGTTTTAAACCCATAACCGAACTGACCTTTAAACCTTCTACCTTTGGACTGTGGTAACAAGTTTGACACAAGTAGACATGTGCACACCGTAAATTTAAATTTTGTTTCACATGCATTAGTTTATTGTAGAATTTCCTTTCATCATGTACGTTATGTTGAACCGATTCTTCTTTGACATTTGTTTCATATATTCATTGGTCCAAGTGGATTCCCAAAAAATTGCAGTTTCTTCAGAAGATTGCTATATATTAAATATATTATCGAATCAGACAGATTAAAAATGTAAAGATTCAATATTTTCAGACGCTAGTCCAACCCACCAAAAGAATGACACAAGCTGAATGGACAATATCAGCTGGTGTCACGTGCATCCACATTAATAAATGGAACAAAATTCGGATCCATTCGTTATCGTATCAGAATTATCAAACAAATCTGAAAATTCAATTCATTTTCCCAAGAGCCGGAAAAAAACGATTGTATCATGTGACATCCTCCAAATGAAACAAATGCATTTGTTAATTTCATTATAACTTTTTTCAGATTCATTGACATTCATTACCAGGGGCGGACTGACCATTTCGAAAACTCGGGCACTGCCCGAGGGCCCGAGGTCAGTAAGGGGTCCCATGAAATGCCCCTGGTACCTTTTTTAGGCTTTTTTTTGAGTGTGGGCAAGGACACAGAGGCCCCATGATCCCCTATTGCCCGGGGGCCCCATGAGTTGTTAGTCCGCCCCTGTTTGTTACTATGTCCATTCAGAGATTGGTATACATCCGAAATCTCCAAAAATTAAATTTTCTTGGGAAAAAAGAATCTTAACAAAATGAAACACCAGAAAAACTATCATTAAAATCTTTCACATGGTCAATTACTGTCTATGTATTTGCATGCATACAAAACATTTGTTTTCATTGGCTCATCCCATTTCCCTTTGATAGCTCCATGTGCCTCCTGTGACAAAGTCTGAGCTAAAATGGCAGACAAGGTGGTGGAGATATTGGTTTCCCAGAATGCAGATTGGGTAGTCATGGACTCCAGGGAAGCCTGATGAGGAAATTAGGACAGTCTCACCTTAAAAGGCAGATTGGAAACCTCCTTGGTTGGGCCTAGACTTCGGAAGAGATTGGGTGGGTCCGCAGCCATGCCACCCTGATCCATTTGCCAGAAAGCCTGCCTTTTTATAGAAGGGCTTGGAGGCATCACAGGAGGAGGACATGTTATGGAGTTTTGAAAATCTCTTTAGATTGTGAACTGACAGACTGCTTTCAATGTAAGAGAGCTTGGATCATTCATCTATCTGACTGGGAATTGTTTAGGGCAAGCAAAAGCCCAATGCATGGACTCTGCTTCATCAGACTGACTTTCTCAGTTGTCTTTGTGAAGTGAACAAAGCCATCAGATGACTATTGCTTACTAGGGGGAGTCCAGTGTAGGACTGTGTCCCTTGCCATGGACACTGGGTGCCATCTTGGGAGAGCCTGTGCCTAAGGCAAGCCACAGTCAGTGTTGATGGGCAAATCCCTCCCGCAATGCTATTGCATTCTACTGGCTGGGAGCCTTCCCGGACTGCAGAACACAACGATTACTGCTAGCAGCAATAGCCGCCGGCACTAATTACATGTAAAAAATCCGGCAGGCTGCTTCAGTACAACCAGCTTGATGGATTCTCGGCCAGTCCCTTGAACACTGAGATATCCAATGGCTGACTTAAGTTGAAATGGAGTTCTCATGAGGTGTCATTGGCCAGTACAACCAGCTTGCCCATAGATGGATCGAATCTCGGCCAGTCCCTGCTGAACTTACTGAGATTTGATCCATCTATGGCTGACTTAAGTTGAAATGGAGTTCTCATGAGGTGTCATTGGCCAGCACAACCAGCTTGCCCATAGATGGATCGAATCTCGGCCAGTCCCTGCTGAACTTACTGAGATTTGATCCATCTATGGCTGACTTAAGTTGAAATGGAGTTCTCATGAGGTGTCATTGGCCATTTTGGACATAGGGATGATTTTAATAGCACCAGCTGTGTCACAGGGGAGTCCTTTACAGGGAAATGAGAAGGCAGATATACTCTTGTTAGGGACAGTTGGGTTTTGCCCCACAGATGGAGTGGGCTGGAGCCCTGGGACCCTGGAGTGGAGTTAATGGATTCCTTAGAACTAAGACCAAGCCTACAGCCGTGCACCTTAGGAGTTATCTAGGTGTTAGAAGGGCCGGTGCTAGACTACTTTGCACCCTAGGCAAGACCAGCTACTTGCACCCCCCCCCCCCCAAAAAAAAAAAACAACTGCTAAATTTCTTTTAATTTGCAAAAATAAGTGCCATAAGATAGCTCTGGCAGGTCCCAGGCTGGAATTCCCAGGCAATGCGGGGAGATAAAGAGTGACAGCAGACAGCCCAGTCCACACACACACACACACACACAGAGAACACCTGAACTGAGCGATCCCACACAGTGACAGATCCGACACAACACATCACCACCAACACTGACACAGATCAGTAGACCCAGCAGGCACTAGAAGAGCAGGCTGTGGGATGGAGATGATGTCATCACTGATGGACACATTGCACATGTGATGGATGGCTGGCCGGTTCGCACTCACACAGACACGAGACATCAGAGTCAGACATGACCTTCCTCCACAGGTGCATCTCTGGTTCCGCTGATGAATGGGAAGAGAAGGGCCGGAACTCCACAGTGATCAGCAGCTGCCAGCCAGCTTGCAGTAAGGGACTGAGTCTGAGAGGAACACTGGAAGGAGCGGCAGCTCAGCTGCTACACTGGCCCCAGACCACTGCCGCCGCACCCCTCAGCTGAAGGATCGTTCAAGATGTGGTGGCGTCCCACACAGAGTGCCAGCCTGTGCTGCATCCAGGCGCCCCTAGATGGCCTAGTTTGCCTCCTGGAAGCACCAGCCCTGGGTGTTAGAAGAATTACCAAAGTTAGGAGAGTCAGCCTGTTTGGAAGCTTAAGGAAGCATGCTTTGCACAATGTCCTGTGTGAAAGCCTGAATTCCTGTTTTGTATTTACTGCTAAATGTATCGTGTTATTCAGATTAGGATTTTAAGAAGAATATAATGGTCCTTTAATTGCCCATTTTTGTTGGATAAAACCCCTTTAATAAAAAAAACTGCGTTGCCTTGTTCTCTTGAATTTTCCACCACACCTTCTAAAGTGAAGAATCTTTCTGTTAAGCTGGCCATAGACGGTTTGTATCTTGGCCGGTTCAGATTCAAACCTTGTACGGGCAAACTGAATGTACCCAAGTTGACCAATCAACTTGGGTACAACTGGCTTGTTGGATTTTACATGCAATTATTTCTGAAGAATGCTAGCAGTATTCACTGTGTTCTCCCTGCACATTGTGTTCTCCCGGATTCCCTGTCCCAACCCCCTGCCAGGAGAACACAATGGCTCTGTGGGGGGATTCCACCATCAACACTGACTGTGAATAAGGTCACATGATGAGGGAATCAAGAAAATCGCTCCGTCTATAGCCAGAGCCATGACACAAAAAAAAAAAAAATAAAGGTGGGACCAGTCATCCATCAAAGGGACTGTGTGGTATGGTGCCTTCTTGCCATAGAGCTACCATCAGAGCTTTTTCCCCTGTTACACTCTATATAACCAAAGATCTGCTATGTTTACTCTGGGATGGCTAGACATTTAATTCATTATTACTTTATGAAACCCAGACCCTAAAGATCCTGTAGAAAGTGTTGGGGATGTTGAATACTGTCCATGATCCTTTTTCATTTGCACTAAGGGGCAAATTTTCAGGACAAAAATTTGGGATAGACCCCTTCTTCTAAGGTCCAAAAAGTACTTTTTGGACCTTAAAGTGTTACTAAACCCCTGACCCTGAATTCACTATATCCGGTCTCCCCGGACCCTGCATTCACTATATCCGGTCTCCCCGGACCCTGCATTCACTATATCCGGTCTCCCCAGACCCTGCATTCACTATATCCGCTCTCTCCCGGACTCTGCATTCACTATATCTGGTCTCCCTGGACCCTGCATTCACTATATCCGGTCTCCCCGGACCCTGCATTCACT